GATCCCTCAGATTCCTAGGTGGAAGCTCTGTGCAGCGTGACTTAGAAGGTACACATGTCCGGCCATTCAGATGACTGAAATCTATGTCTCACATATCCTCGGCCTTCATCACTCTATCTCGCCCTCTGTCACACTCTCCCTGTGCTCTGTGAGGACACAGCCAAAGGGCAGCCCCCTGAAACCAGAAGGGAGCTCTCACCAGCGCCTGAGATGCTAGTGCCCTAATCTTGAACTTCCAGCCTCCAGAACTGTGAAGAGATAAATTTCTATTTAAACCACCTGTCTGTGGTATTTTATTAGGGCAGCAGGAGCTGACTAAGACAATTTGTCAACATCCACAAGGCAAGAATCACTTGCATCTTACCAATCAAAATTAATTTTTTTGTCTATGGATGAGAATCATTTACACTGCTATCAGTTTTCTACAACTTACAGAGTCGTAAAATAGCTCAGAGATGATGAAGGGCACGGAAAACACAGAATATTGCCCAGGACAGGATACTGGGTAATCCTTCCTGACAATTTCAAGCTCTACTGTAAGTTTCCCTGACATACCTAAACAGCCTACTATAAGCGAATTGCCCTGAAGCTGCTCCAGAGAGACCTGCTGTCACCTCTTTTGTCTTTTTTATTCAAGCACAGGCCGTTTTGTTTGTTTTCATTACAAGTGCAACCCACAGTTCCCAGGCCTACAGCAGCCTGAAGGAGCATCCAGGAGCCAGAGCCCGCAGCCTGGCCTCTAGTCCTCTCTAGCAAACTCTGGAACCCTCAGGCCCTGCGGGTCTCTTTACAGGATCCAGGCTGCGGCGCTGTGCAAGCCCTGCCGTGGGCAGTTGGTCTCATCAGGGATAACTGAGGGCATCAGACCTCCTTTTACCTGTGGCTCCCTGGACGCCGTAGGTTTCCTTGGCACCAGTGACTCCCACTATGAAGTTGTTTCTTCTGCTCTACCGGTCACCTCACTGACACACAAGAAGGCACAAGTGAAAGTGGAAGGGCGTCATTTACTGAGCTCTGACTATAGCCAGGCTCTCAGGTGCTTTTCACTCTTTTATTTCACTTTACGACATTTTTGTTTCTGCTTTGGTACAATATTTAAAACTAAGGTACACCTCCCCTAAACGAATGTCAAAAACATAAGACCGTTCTCCTATGTGCCCCAAATCATAACATTTAATAAAAATTAATAATTGCTTAATAACATATCATAGCTAGTCCAAATCTAAATTTTCCCAGTTGTCCAAAAAATGTCCTTTACTGTCAGTTGCTACAAACCAGGATCCAGTCCGGGACAGTGCAGCTGGCTGTCGTGCTCCTGTAAGTCTGAATCTGGAAAAACACCCCTTTCTCCTTGACTCCTTGAAGAGGCAGGGCTAGTTGTCCTATAAAATGTCACACTTTCTGGATTTGTCTATTGCTTCCTCGTGGCATTTATTTACCTTGTATGTCTATCTCCTGTCTTTCCTCAAAACTGGAATAGCTGTGGTCCTGGTGCAAGTTAAATATTTTGGGCCAGATGGACGCCCCTCGCCGGGAGGCTGAGTGATGATGTGCCGGCCGCCCAGTGGAGCCAGCAGACGTTTACAGAACGTGGGGCTACATCAAGCCTTAAGTTTATTTTGATGAGATAACCTGCAGTCTTGCCCACCAACACACTTCACAATCCTCAACAAATTAACATTTGGGAGTACTTCCTTTTGAAAACAAACTGCCTGTACTGTAGTGAATGCTCATTAAAAATGGACTTTCAATTCACGGGCTTGCTCGTTTTCCTCCAGTCTGGGGATGGTCCCTGCCAACAGTGAGCTGGCCATGGCGCAGCCCAGTGTGATGGTCCCTGATGTGCGTTCTCCCAGTTTCTCCACCTGTCCTCTCACAGCCAGCCCTCCTTTATCATCACAGTTGCTGCTTCTCTGAACCTGTGTGTTTTGTTTCCCTCAGGGAGCCCTAAAGCGAGCACAACAAACTTAGCCAATACTCTGAGACTTGGATCCTTTGTTGCATTTCCAGTTTGAGGATCTCAGGACTTAGCCATTGTGAAATGGATTTACAAATTTGAATCAAGAAACTGAAATTCATAATAACATTTACCCTGAGGACACATGGAAAGTTGGCTGTAAGTGCTATCTTGAGTACTTCCTCTTCAGCAATTATCAGTCAGGAAGTCAGTAAAGAGAATATGATGCTGAGAAAAGTCATCGGAACTACCATTACAGTAACGCTCCCCTTAATGTGCTGCTTGAACCAGAAGTCAAGGGAAGTATTTCTGAAACACAGACGACTTGCAGATCTGTACAAGGAAAAGAAGTAACCTTTGGAAGTGAAGTTGAGAAATGCAGTCAGATGTATTGCTTACAAGTTCATTATTGGTACAAAGCAGGGACAACAGAGATGGGCCAAGTACATAAAGCCTTGGCTAGTCATTTTCCCCAAAGTGAAGCAGAGATGAGAATCCAAATCTCCAACAACTAAGGGTGTTTTTGTTGTTCTCACCTAAAATAAGGCAACCCCAGCCCCTTACTAAAGCAGGTGTATGCTGCTGATAGACATAAACATATTTATTTATACTAAAAATATCTTTCTTAGAAGAGGCAATACATTTATTTTATGAACTTATAGGGCAGATAAACAAGTGATATTCTAGGAAGGCAGGTTTGTTTTGGCAAAATACATACAATATAAATTTGTCATTTTAACCACTTCCAACTGTACAGCTGTGGTATTAAGTACATTCATTGTTGTACAGCCATTACCACCAGTCACATCCAAAACCCGCTCATCATCCCAGACTGAAACTCAAACACATGAAACGATAACTCCTTACCCCTCCTTCTCCCAACCCCTGGTAACCACACACCACTTTCTGTCTGTACGATTTTAACTACCACTCTAAGTACCTCATGTAAGCAGAATCATAAATGTCTGTCCTTTTGCATCTGGCTTATTTCACTTAACATAGTCTTTGAGTTTCATCTATGTTGTAGCATATGTCAGAGTGTCATTCCTTTTTAAAGCTGAATAACATTTCATTTCATATATATCACATGTCGTTTATCCATTCATCCACAGATGGACATTTGGGTCGTGTCCACTCTGACTTTTATGCACGTGCTACTATGAACATGGGTGCACAAATACCTGTCTGAGCCCTGCTCTTGGTTATTTGGGGCATGTATACAGAAGTGGAATTGCTGGATCATACAGTAATTTTTATATTTAATTTTTTGCGAAATTGCCATTCTGTTTTCCTCAGCTACTGCACTAGGGTTCCAATTTCTCCACATCGATGGAGAAACAATCGGTGTCAACACCGATTGTGTCCAGGTTTTTGGTCATGGCCACCCTAACGGATATGGAGGGGGAATTTTTAATGGCTAGTCTGCAATACAGTGGGACGAGCCGTCCCGGGACACAGGGGCTGGTGGATACGCTCTAGCAAAGACCAGACAGACTGACATGTTCGCCAAGGCAGACTGCGCACTGTCCGAGCGTGTCTGATCACAGGGCAGGTAGGGGCTGAAACCTAGCCCCTGCTCACACACACCTTGCACATTCCAAAGTGCAAACCTGGGTGTACAGCTGCCCCTTCAGGGAGGAAGCAATGACGTTTAGTTCCCTAAAAGTATCATCCGTTTTCCAGGCTGTGTACTCCAAGGGGCACCTTTCCTTTCTTTTTTTATGCAAATTAAGGCATTTATGAAAGATACTGGTTATCCTGGCTGGCTGACTTTCACCATGGGGTTGTTGTAACTAGAACAGGTTAATGATACCTCATCCACTTGGACCAGAGGACTAACTATTAAGGCTCCTTTCAATGGTGATGCCCCATGGATCTCTGACGGTTTTACAAAATGCCCCACCCCCCAGTGCCCTGACACTCCGTGCACCGAGAGTGGAGTTTATCTTCTCTCACCTTGAACCTAGGATCTGTTTGACTATAGAATTCTGTAGAAGGGACACTGGACCAGTTTCCAGGCCCAGACCTTAAGAAACTGGCAGCTCCCACTTCCTGTCTCTTGGAACACCCTCTCGGAACCTAGCCATCCCGCTACGAGGAAGCCTAAACCACTTTGTAGAGAGACACATATGGTGAAAAACTAACACTCATCACCGAGTAAGTGAACTGTCTTGGAAGCAGAGCCTCCAGCCCCAGCAAAGATGAGCTGTCCCAGCCGAGACCCACCCAAATTGCAGACTGATGAGTAAAGTAAACGACTGTAGTGTTTTTAGGCCACTACTGTTGTAGGGTGATTTTCTCTAGCTACAGTTGATAACTGAAACAGTCCATGACATAAAGTGACCAGTTCCCCAAGGGCACATTTCCAAGACAGGCCTCACGCCAGCAGACCTCCAAGGCAGGGCATTCTCTGAGGAGCCCTCAGTTTTTCTTCACGTCACTGGCAATGGCCTTTGTCCCTCAGCTCTTCTCCCAGTCCCCAATTTAGGATAAAATAAATCTCTCTCATAAAGGGGTGCTGAGTCCCACCTTCTGCCACACATCTGCATCCTCATAGTTTTGATTTCTTGGGGAATCATAGGTTTCTCTGAGCCGCACACTGGACCCCTCTGTGGACTTCCTGGCTTGTGCTTTGCCCTGGTCTAGTATTATGCAGCCTTGCGGGGCTGGCTTCAAGGGACAAGGTGGAGGCAAAATGTACTTGATCCAGTAAACTTCTGTCCACGTTGGCTCTTCAACTTGCTCTGAGCTTAAGATGACTCCCACAAACCAAGCAAGGAAGTAGGGGCCGCAGAGGAGAAGCCATGCTGGGCCCTGGCCAGCTCTGTCTGCAGAGACTCCCCACGGATCAAACCTGCTGCATTTCCTAGGACTGGACTGGGTTTCTCTCCAAGGCCTCCCTCGGTTCTCACGCTTGTCAGTTAAACTATCCTCCTTCAGGGATTACTGCCCCTCCCGCCCCAACTTCATTTCAGGAAGGAAATAGTTAAAACAAGACTCCTGCCCTTCGGGGCCTGGGAGGGGGCGGAGGCAGCTTTGTGCTTTATAGTGGTTGCCTCTAAGAAGGGCTGGAAGCTTGGAACATTCTTGCTGTCCTAGAGTGGAGGAGGTCTGGGAGATCTTGGAGGAGAAGGGAAGGACCGGCAGACTGGGGGCGTGTGTTCCTCCAGGGTTTTCTTTTACTCGTTAGCCCTTGCACGCGCGCGCGCGCGCACACACAAGTCATCCCTGTGGGCTGGCGATTGTGGACTGGACGTGGAGAGGCTCCATCCCAGCTGGTGGCCGGAGGCTGGCTGCGGAGGCAGGCTGCCGGGGAGACCTTCCCACAGAATTGGTTCCCAGGAAGTTTTGCGAAGTAGATGCAACAGTGCAGCGCAGGAGCCCGGGACTCACGCCACCCACTCTCGCCGACTCCGCTTCCTCTGTCCCTGCGTCCAGGCACCGTGCGCGGACCAGGCAACGGTCTGTGCTCGCCTAGCTCCACGGTGGGTGCAACTCTTTCCTCTCGGGGCCAGGCAGGGCTGGGGGAAAGGCCTCCTGAGCCTGCTGGCTGGGAGAGGGAGCCGGCATCATTTTCGCCCAGCGCTCTGCTCCTTGGGCAACCCTCCCCACACGGGCTGCCACCCACCTGCACAGGGGCGCGTAGCGACCCGGGCGCCTTTCTAGAAGAGGTGCACTCCGAAAACGCCTTGGCTTTGGGGTCTGTTTGAAAGCCCCTCGGCCTCCCCAGGCGGGATTCGGATTTTCAGTTAAAGAATATACACAGTTTTCCCGGGTATGTCTTTTCCCCAGGCGTGCAAGAACTTTGAGGAACTTCACGCCCCTGTCGCAGGCTCCAAAGCCTACTTGTGAAGAGCGTCCCGCAGCCTTTTCTCATTCGCCTGCTTCTCCTCCCTGCACACCCGGGTAGCCACGGGCACTCGGACAGATGTTTTGGAAAACCCCCAGTGCGGCTGGTTTGGAAACCTGCTTGTGGGTGTCTGGGCGTTTGGTTCTATGCTGTCCTTTAAAGGGCACTTGTTGCCTTTCACGTGCAGAAAACTAGGGCTGTTTCTAGACTATCAGCTTCTGTTTACACCATCCTAATGGCGCTCCCCGATGGAGTTGGCGGCTGAGGGGGTTGGGCAGGAGGTAAATTGAAGTCAGACTTTGTCAGTAAGGCGAGTTGCGGATTTATTACCCAGCGAGCAAAACCCACAGAAAACTTGCAAAGAGTGCCTAGTTTTTTGTTTCTCCTCTTGTAGATGCTTACGGCTTCCTCTGCCCCCTTCCCATGCATTCTGTTTTAAGTGTTAACTGAGAAACACCTTGACAATCATTTCAGGTAAACTAAGTGCTCTAAATTCAGGCCATTTGGGTAAAGCCAGAATTTCCAAATTATTGTATTAATTACAGGTAGGTGTCGATTTTAGGAATCAGAGATGTTAAATGGTTAACGTGTAAGCATTGGGATTCATTCCTCTTCCTTAATAACAGCTTTTGAACTTCAGCAAATTCTTACACGCCAAGTAGAAGAACACCAAATCTGTAAACCATGTCCTTGAGGTCTGAACCTGAAATGCTTCTCTAGAGCCGTGACTGATTGTTCCAAGCACGGCATGGCTTAGACCCACGGACATGAGCTACGGGCTCATCCTGGGAGGAACATGCATTTGAAGAGGCTTCTTTTGTGTGGGTTCGTATTTTTCACCCAATGTATGGTATTCATATGCCTTTGCCAAGTACCCTTTACCTCTGCAGCTTAGAGATATAATGTAAAACTTCTGTGGTGGTGGCAGGCAGAAACCCAAATCACTAGCTCACATTTGTAAGAACCCACACCGCCTCCTTACCTGCACAGAGCAAACCAGTAATCCAGTGTTCAAAGACTAAAGCTGTTCATTTCATGGGTGGCGGGATACCCCATGGCCAGGTTAGTTCACCAAATATCTTCCCAATGGACTCTAAGGGGCAAAGAGACATTCCATTTCTGGAAGAAGCCTTCCCTCTCTTAGTTGTAATGCATCTATTGTTGAGGATTCCATTCGGATTGGGAAACCGGGAAGCTTTAGTCACTAAACAGCACAAGATACATCGAAGTGTTTTTCTTCTCCCATCTCTGATCTGGAGAGGAGGGTGACAGTATGCTGTGTTCTCAGAATCCTGGTCTCCACTGCCGAATGGAAACAGTGTCTATCGATATTCGGTCACATATTCACTCCAAACTGTAAGAAGCCAGAAAAAAACTACAAACTACTTACAAGTCCAAGTAGATCTGATATGTACATAGTATGCCCCTAGCTTATAAAATTGATGTTTTGATCATTTATTTTTATAATATCCAGCTGAGTCAAGTCCTAGAAGCAAAGGAAAGTGTTGTATTGTATCTGTCATGCTGCTTCCTGGCCATGAAAACTTGACTAAACTCCCTAGAGACTCGGTCTCCTTATGAGTAAAATGGGGATAGTGCCCCTGCCGGCCTGCAGTTGTCAAGTTCAAGTCAGGTGGTAAATATATGCATAACAGAATGTATTACTACTACAAATAAAATGTTATTATTTCCGGTTCCTAGGGAATAATAATAGGTTTGTATTTTTCACCCAATGTATGGTATTCATATGCCTTTGCCAAGTGCCCCTTACCTCTCTCAGGAGAAGGCCCAAGCATGTAGTGTTTGCACTTTAGACCCATACAAACTGAACAAATCTTATTTCATCCACATACTGAGTAAGCCTAAGCTTTATTGATAACTGGCAAAGATAACTGTCCAAATCCCTAAAACCGGTTAATGCCAACCGTGAGTAGATTAAGAAAAGAGACACAATTTTTTATAATTTCATTATATGTCATAAGCACACACATCACTGCATAAATGAGCTTACTTTATTTGAAGAGTCATAAAAACTCACAAAAAAGAAAATATAAAACTACTTAAATGTGAGGAGCCACCAAACCCCCCTCGTTTTCCCAACATCTCATCTTTAAGGGTTAAAGTACAAACCTAGACTTCCTGGGCAAGAAAGACCACTTGCTCTCTGCCAGTGGCTAAGAAAAGAAAGCAACACACGAACGGAAGCTTCACTAAAACATTTCAGGCGCTAAGAAAAGCATGAGAATGAGAGACAGTGTAGTCTAGTGGTTAAGAGCTGAGACTCCAAGTTGGACTAACTTGCCTTAGAATCCCAGCGTTGCTACCTAGGCCTGTGCCTTTGATGGGCACCCTGATGTTGCTGAGTCTCTGGCTGTCTTCATAATGGACCTGTGCCTGCTTCACGGCACTGTGGTCTAGATCAGAGGGCATCGTGCACGCACAGTGCTCGTTTAATTAAAACTAAAATTGTGAGCCCTGGCTGGTATAGCTCAGTGGATTGAGCACTGGCCTGCAAACCCAAGGGTCGCCAGTTGGATTCCCAATCAGGGCACATGCCTGGGTTACAGGCCAGGCTCCCAGTAAGGGGCGCATGAGAGGCAACCACACATTGATGTTTCTCTTTCTTCTTCCCTTCCTCCCTCTCTAAAAATAAATAAATCTTTTTTTTTAAAAAAACTTAAATTGTTATGTGTATCGATGGTGTTGACCAGAGTTCTGATATTTAACATTTTGTGACACTTTAACTGGCTAACTATGCTGCATTTTATTCCCATGTTCATAATCTACCACGTGTAAAACAGCACACATTTTGGAATATTGGATTCTTAATTATAGAATTGGTAATTTTATGCTTTAACACTATGTAACTTACTCAGCATAGAATGCCTTTTCTCTCCCACCAATAAAATGTATCCCAATTGTTGGAGATTTTTTTTAGTTCATGATCTTATCAGCCTAGGTATAGTGAATAGAAAATAGTAATATACTTCTAGACCTACTACTAAGACAAAAACTGACACATCCCCATGCACTTTATAATCAGATGTAAGGATAGCAGTGGACAGAGACGAGAGATGAGAAAGAGAGAGATGGAGAGACAACCTGCCCTCCCAGAGCTGTGGTCCCCCCTGGTTTGTTCTGGTTTGTTCTGCTTCGGGGTGAGCTGACACAGATACAGACGCGGATACACAGAAATTCACCAATTTTGATAAGTGTTTCTAAATGCATGCTCATATGACAGCTGTCACAGCACAGTCTAACAAAACTGTTTCACATAAAGTTAAACAAAATTAAGTGCAACTACAGCCATCATATGGAAGAAAACCAAATGAACTTTCGGCCGACCCGGTATCTTACCATTACCCAATACCTGCTTTCTGACTAGAGCAATGAATAATCTTGACTACAGTCTTACTGGCAGCTGAATTCTGTAACCCAAATTATTTTTTCTCCTTTTTTTTAGGTGGAGAAAAAGCGAGTGTGTGAAGGCAGCACAGTAAGAGGCATTTCCTCAAATCTTCATCAAGATGAAAACTTTTTGCTTCAGGGTGTCCTTTTGGGTGGCGATGGTCGGGTGTGTGATTAGTGATAATCCCGAGAGCTACAATGCAAATCTAAGCACTCGCGTGGAAGATTTTACCACGTTCCATGGGACAGAGCTCAGCTTCCCAGTTACCACTCATCGACCCTCTAAGCTGGCCCTACCCAGCAATGGCTCGTTGCACGGCTACTGCCCACAGCAGACGAAGATTACTTCAGCTTTCAAGTACATCAACACCGTGATATCTTGTACTATTTTCATCGTGGGAATGGTGGGGAATGCAACTCTGCTCAGGATCATTTACCAGAACAAGTGTATGAGGAATGGCCCCAACGCGCTGATAGCCAGCCTTGCCCTCGGAGACCTTATCTATGTGGTCATTGATCTCCCCATCAATGTATTTAAGGTAGGAAGTCACCACAAATATTGTTTGCAAGTTTGAACCTGTGCTTTGATTCCACAATGAGAGAGTTGCAGCAGGCTCTTCTGACCTGAATTTTATAGTCTGTTTCTCACTGAGAGCAGTTTCTGCTATCTTACAGCTCGTGGCATTTGAAATTTTTATTACTTGTTAAATGTTACACTTCTTTTCTAACTTAATTGTTCACCAAATAGTATTCGGGGAATGACCTTTCAAAGGCATCTTTCATGCAGGATTCTCACGCCACCCCTGAGCCTGCCGAGCAGCTGGGCAGTCTCGGGGTGATCACTTGATTTTTCTGAGACTCCATTTTCAGAGTGAGACCTACTGAGCCCTGAAAGTACTTAAAATTAATTATTCAGTAGCAGTTACCTGTCTAACGTGATGCTGTTCAGAAGCCCGATACCCACAGTGTGGCTTGAAAGGAAGAGCACCTATTGTACTCTGGCGGCCTGGACTGGTGGGTGGAGCCACAGCACGTGCTGGCTTTCCCAGGCCGGGCGCCTGAGAGATAAGGGGCCCGTGTGACAGCGGGCCAGGGTGGACCTCAGTGAGCGGAATCACCAAAACCGTTCACGGCAGGCATCCGGGCACTGTGGCCGCCTCCGCTTCTCCAGTTTACATTTAGAGAGTGCCCACTGTGTGTCGTCCCCCTACCCACCCCCACGCCAAGCTGGGCAATAGGGGCCAATAGGGCAAATTAGACAAAGTTAGTGCCTGAGTGGGAGAGGGAGACAAGTAACCCACCATCACTGTGGTCACCTTGCTTCCAGAGCTATTTAGCACCAGAACAAACTACAGTAGAGGCAGAAGGAACTGGGTAGTCCATACTTGGTCTTGTGATTGTGAGGGCAAACTGCTGCAAGAATTCAAGTGAACCAAGACTCCAATAAAACCGTGATCTACACCAGATATCACAGCATGTCTCTAGTCTAAGCCCAGGAAGAACACTTTCCTGGGCCTTGAGTTCTCCTATGTACTACCCATACAAATGAAACTATTCTGCACAATCATATTTTGAAATAGGACTTTAAATGGCAAGTGTTGTCAGTTGAAGACATAACTTTAAGTAGAATGGTAGCCTTTTGGTTTCCAATAGATACACTTGAACAGTGGCAAAATACCCTAGTACACCAGAAAAATCAGTGGTCAGACAATAAAGATGTAAGCAATGGTTACAATTTTCAAAACTACAAATAAAAAAACATTGCAAATTATCCAGTACACTGTAAAATTGGGGGAATTAGACAACAAATAATTTTTTTAATCACATACTCTTTTCCCACAGAACAGCATGAATACATGTTTTCTATTTGAAATTAAAATGGGATTTTAGAACCAAACAATGAGGCAAAATGAAAATGTGTAACTAATTTAAAATGTTTAACAAACATATGCTACAGGACTTCATTTTTTCTGTTAAGAGGTAATTTTCTCTTTATGAAGTATTATGTGTATCAATGCCTGACTTTCTCATGACTTCTATCTCTAATAATAGATTTGAAAATGATGTTAGGACTCACTCAGAATTTGACTTCCTGGCAGTCACTGTGGGGGTGAAACGTGGACGTGCAGGCTTTGACACCAGTTAACCCCCCATCGTGGCTCAGGAGAGTAGTTAACCACCTTTGAATTAATATTCCCATTTGAACACATGCAAAGCGGCTTCTCTGCACATCACTATCTGCGACTGCGGGGAGGGCGATCTGCATGTCACTTTCAGGTGCCACCTCCCAGTTATAGAACCAAACTTCATTTCTGCTGCACAGCAAAATTTTTAAGTCATAGCATCTAGGCTATCTCCAAATTTGTTGAAAATCTCAAAAGAAAAAAGCTTTATTTAAAAAAACTTTATTTTAAATCCATATAGTAATAGATAAAAATAACACATTATTTTATTTTTTAATTTATTTTTAATATATTGTATTAATTATGCCATTACAGTTGTTCTATTTCCCCCCTTCATTTCCCTCCACCCTGCACACCCCTCTCCCACCATTCCCCCCTTTAGTTTATGACCACGTGTCTCAAGTTCTTTAGATTCTTTATTTCCCCTACTATTCTTACCCTCCCCTCCATCTATTTTCTATCTACTGTCTATGCTACTTATTTTCTGTACCTTCTCCCCCCTTCTCCTTTTCCCACTCCCCTGTTGCTAACCCTCCATGTGATCTTCATTTCTATGGTTCTGCTCCTGATTTAGCTGTCCTCTTAGTTTGAGGAGAGGCTTAGGAACCTTCAGGACATCTTTAAACATTCCAACATCCGAATTATAGGGGTACCAGAAGGGGAAGAGGAACAGCCACAAGTGGAAAACTTATTCAAACAAATAATAAAGGAGAACTTCCCCAATCTGGCAAAGGCAATACACTTTCAGGAAATCCAGGAAGCTCAGGGAGTCCCAAAGAAGTTGGACCCAAGAAGGAACACACCAAGGCACATCATCATTACATTAGCCAAGATTAAAATGAAGGAGAGAATCCTAGAAGCAGCAAGAGCTAAGGGGATAGTCACCTACAAAGGAGTTCCCATCAGACTGTCAGCTGATTTCTCAAAAGAGACCTTACAGGCAAGAAGGGGCTGGAAAGAAGTATTCCAAGTCATGAAATCCAAAGACCTACATCCAAGATTGCTCTATCCAGCAAAGTTTTCATTTAGAATGGAAGGGCAGATAAAATGCTTCTCAGATAAGATCAAACACATTCTTATTTGACTATGTGGTTCTGACCTCCTGGAAATCCAACACAGTCAGCCTTCTGTATCCACAGGTTCTGCCTAGGCAGATTCAACTGACTACAAATAGAAAATACTCAGAAAAAAGTTATGTCATTGCTGGTATGACTGCGTGGTTAGGTGTGCGATGGTCATGTCCATACTGAACATGTACAGGTTTTTTCTTCTTGCCATTATTCCCTGGGACACAGTATGGCATAATGGCTATTTGCCTGCATTTACATTGTGCTAGGTGTTATAAGTGACCTAGATGTGACTCCAAGTGCATGGGAAGGTGTACAAATACTGTGCATTCTTAAATAAGGGGCTTGAGCACCCAAAGATTTGATTATTTGCAGGGGTCCTGGAACCAATCCCCCAGAGATCCCGAGAGGTGACTGTACTGTGATGCCTACTGTAGTTTTCAATAATATGGACAGTGTGGCTGTAGTGTTTTTACATCACAGGTATACATCTGTGTAATTCCTGTTTTTCTAAAACTTATGTAATGAGTCATTTAACCAACATTACTTATAGAAAGTAAACCTTTTGGTTTCAACAAAAACTACTCTTTAGTCAATTCTATCTTATCCCTGAGGAAAAAAGAAAAAAATTGGAGGGAGCTCCAGCTGGTGTAGCTCAGTGGATTGAGCGCGGGCTGTGAACCAAAAAGTTGCTGGTTTGATTCTCAGTCGAGGCACATGCCTGGGTTCCGGGCCAGCTCCCCACTGTGGGGCATGTGAGAGGGAACCACACATTGATGTTTCTCTCCCTCTCTTTCTTCCTCCCTCCCCCTCTCTCTAAAAATAAATAAATAAAACCTTAAAAATTTTTCAAAAAAAAAGAATTGGAGGGAGTTAAAAGGGTGCCCAGTATTTGGGGGCTACTTCTACTTCTCTCAGTCCTCTTCCGTAGGTTAGGAGGAGGCGCTGCTTCTCTGACTTCGGTCCAGGGTAGTCAAGAGAAATCCTTCCCAGCACTGTGGGCACCAGGCTCTCCTGCCTTTTCCCCACAGCTGCCACCTTCTGTGAGGCTCTGATGCTTTGGGGTCTCACCTCCCAGGCCTGTGATTCCTCTCTAACCATGTCAAGCTACCTCTTTACTTCAGGGCAAAGTAGCAGCTGCCCATCTCATTTTACTATTATGTTTAGGTATCTGTGAAATAAAAATAATGTGCAAACTTGGAGTACATGCTATTAAAAGGATGGATGGAGCTTCTTTATCACCCCCCGCCATGAGAAGAATTATCTTGAAAAAAGATGGGAAAGTATCTGCCATGTTCTCCAAAGAATGATGAGTTTTCAAACCACACAGGTCATTGTGTTTAACAATTCTATCAATTGCCTGTATACTCAGTTGTAAGGTCTCCAAGCAGAGAATGCTACATTGAATCACAGCAGAGTCAGCATGAGTGGGAGGGGACAGTGGGAGGGCTGCATCTTTGGGCAAGGTAGACTTGCTGACTAGACTGCAATAGCATTACAAGTGATAAAGCGTTCCTCCTATTTGCATTTTCTTCCCCATCTCTCACTTAGAAAGAAATTGTACCAAAAATGTTTCATTTACAAATGTGACATGAAACACAACTGACAAGCAAAGCCGCGGGGCTTTTTCTGGTCTGTCATTATCCCATTCGGGGGGTGCAGGGAAATTCTGGAGGTTCTGCGGGTGTGGAAGAAGGGATCACCCCACACAATTCCCAAAGTTTCCAAAAGATCTCTATGTCTTCAGGGCTTCTGCCCTCTATTCTATATTGCACTTTGCTTCTACTTACTGAGTGTCCCTCTGCCCACAAACTTCCAGGAGCTCCCATGGTGAGCGGCCAAGGCCCTCCCCACTCTGGACACACTTCAGCTACTTCTTAACCGCTTCCCAGTGTGCAGGCTCAGCTCTCGTGGAACGCCATCACTTCCCCAAAGCACAGTGCTGTGCCTTAAGCAACGTTCCCAGGGAGGCTGGATGCAGCCACTGAATTGCTGCTGCTGAGACAAGTACAGACCCTGCACTGAGTTAGGTCTGGAGTTACACATGCTGCACTGAGAAACAATAGAAACCGAAAAATGGAAAGAAGCCCCTCTGGCCCTTGCTTAAACTCACACATGCCCAGACACACTACATTAAGTGGTGAAGAAAATCAGACGTCCTGTGATAAAATTTCAAGCAGAAGGAGCCTAAGAAAGAAAATGAATGCCAGTTACCTTCCTGGTTTTCACGCATAAAAGGGCCTTGCAAATGGCAATATGGAAGAAAACCTGTTACTAAGTTTATTGAAG